TGCAATTCCAGAGGGCCACGGCTTCCTCTTCGAGACATTCGGCGTGCGTCCTCGCTTCTCGTGGGGCGTCGATCCGTTTGGGGCCTCCGCCGCCGCGCCCGTGCTCTTCGCCCTGGCCGGGTTCGACGGTCATCTCATCTCCCGAATTGATTATGACCTGAAAGATTCCATGCAGAAGACGAAGGTGCCGCCGGACTGCCGTGTCGAACTGCACTGGAGTTGACTCATCTAAACTTTTTTTTTTTTGTACTGTGAACCAGAAATTGCAGTTTGTTTGGAGAGGTTCTGCCTCTTTGCAAGAGCGGCAGCAAATCTTCACACACACCATGGACCAGTTCAGCTACTGCACTCCGTCTTACCTGCCATTCTCCAACAGGTAGTCTCTTTCCCTTCATCACCGGCCTCAAAACATTCATCAAGACTGTATCACACTTCAACAATCCATATTCAAATCAAATGAACTGAAGACTCCTGTAAATTGAACTCAGAGATGTGTTGCTGTTGATTTAGAGCGCCTCGTTGCCGGCCCTGAGTACCATCTCGGGGTATTAACAGCGCATAGCACTTATTGATACGCAACGACGAATGAGATTTGTTTTTTCCCAGCAAATAACGGCCGCTTTTTCAGGTCGGGCTTCTACTGGAACGGCGTGGCCTTGTTCCCCGACCCCCCGAAAGACGGTGTGTACCCAAACATGAGTTTGCCCATCACCAAGGAAACAGTGCACGCTTACGCCAGCACCATGGTGGAGAACATCAAGCAGAGGGCCGACTGGTTTCGGACCAAGCACGTTCTGTGGCCATGGGTGACGAGAGCGTGGCACTTTTGGTTCCTTCAAGTTGGCACACGTCCAACTCACTTGTCGAATTGCTTTTCAGGGCTGCGACAAACAATTCTACAATTCGTCCGTGCAGTTCGCCAACATGGACCCGTTAATGGACTACATCAACAAGAACAGTAAGGACTTGGGGGTCACGGTCCGCTATGCCACACTCGCCGAATACTTCCGAGCCGTACACGATGCGGATCTTGTCTGGGAGGTGCGCGGGAGTGAAGACTTTCTGCCTTATTCTACCGGTAACAAAACACTCATGACATCACTTTAACAAACGTGACATGAAGACAGGACCTGATGAACTCTTTTGCCTTTTTCCCCAAATGGATTTTTGGCAGAGTCCCACCAGGCGTGGACAGGATTTTACGCCTCTCGGAACATCCTAAAAGGGGTGGCGCGGCGAGCCAGTGCCCAACTTCATGCGGCCGAGACTCTCTTCACGCTGTACCGGATCAACTATCCGGACGGACCTGTCACAAAAGACTGGGCGCTTGCTAAGCTAAAAGCTCTACGCTGGGCCGTCTCGGAGGTAGAATATGGCACCATGCAATTGTGTTACTCTTCACACAAAATAGGGATATTCAGATGAAATTTCAAGATGAGCCTGAGATGTACCGCGACTCTTACAGGCCGCGTAAAAAAAAAAAAATCTGAAACACTGAACAGTTGGATAGTTTAAAGTAGGTTAACTTGAATTTCCCTGTAAACGTTCGAGTGTATTTTACTGTACCTCACAAAAGGTCACCCCTCACATTTGATGACGTTGATGACAAACCACTGCCAAAAGGGAACTCCTCAACTCACTTTCTTGACGCCAAGTTGCCACAACCTGGCATTAAACGCTCCCAAAAAAAAAAAATCTGAAACACTGAACAGTTGGATAGTTTAAAGTAGGTTAACTTGAATTTCCCTGTAAACGTTCGAGTGTATTTTACTGTACCTCACAAAAGGTCACCCCTCACATTTGATGACGTTGATGACAAACCACTGCCAAAAGGGAACTCCTCAACTCACTTTCTTGACGCCAAGTTGCCACAACCTGGCATTAAACGCTCCCGTCTATATAAAACCCCTCTACTCAAATGAACATAGCTCCTTTACACGAACATTCCACAAGATGGCGCTAAAATAACTATTTTATTGCTTTGGCCAGAACACAAAAATGCAAAAGAGGTTTCCATGACTATGAGTTTGTGATCACAAAATATGTATTTGAACACATAATATAAATATTTCTTTCGCGTCAAATTTTCAGCTCTCTTAGTGACTTATCACCCATAAGTCCAATTTTCAAAGTCATTGAGTGTAGGATATCTAAATGTTTGTAGGTCCAGCACCACGATGGCATCACTGGCACCGAGTCCCCAAAAGTAGCAGACATGTACCTGCAGCATCTTACACAGGCCATGATGGGCGGCGAGGAGCTTCTGGCGGCCATCTTCTTGCTGCCGCACAACATCGACATCCTCAACGCCCCCCGCAACCACAAAAAAGGTTTTGTCGATTTCTTTTGTCGTTTGCGATATAATGGAGTGAATGCCATTCTGGTATTATTTTAGCGGGCGCTCGGCATGATTTGGAGCAATACGTCATCGTTTACAACCCGCTGGCGTGGAACATCTCGACGGTCATCAATGTCACGGTGACGTTTCCGTTTGCACGTGTCTTTGATGAGTCAAGACGACCCGTCCCCGCGCAGGTAGATTACACAATTTGTCGGGTCCATTTTGCCCACTTCCAGGGATCCTTTGAATGTTTGGAAAATTCAGCCCAATGATGCCAGTTTCACTTATCAACATGATATTTTGCAGGCATGTCATTAATGAGTAGACCCACAAAAAAAATTGAGTTTTTTCCCGCAAAAGACATTTTACCCATTTTTAGGAGTCCTTATGGATTTGTTGTGATAATTCAGCCTCTGAAGCCAATTTCACTTAACTAGACGAAATTTGGTAGATATTTCTGTCATGAGTAGCACCACAAAAAATCTCAAGGGGCCATACCTGTATAGACACAAGAAGGTTGCCATTTGGGTTTTAAGGTCCAATCTGGTGTGTGTCACAGATCCAAAGGTCCGCCTTGTCCAATGTCACCTACGACTTGTTCATCCTGGCCGACCTGGAAGGTCTTCAGCAGACAAAGTACTTGATCAGTTTCTCAGAGAAGCCGTGCCCGCTGAAGTCCAAGTGTGGTAGCACATTCGAAGCCAAAGAGGTCCATTTTGAAACGCGCAGCATCCGGGACTGGAAGAAAGTGGGTAGCAGGCTCCTGCCGGTTCTGAGCGAGTGTTATAAGCTCATGTTCGACCAGGACACCAATTTACTACACAGTATCACGCATCTGTAAGCCACTCACTTCATAATTTAAAACAAAAACAAAACCACTTTGGCTCCTGCATGCCCTCACGTGTGTCTGTGGCAGGCAAGACAAAAGACGGGTCCGGGTGACTCAGGATTTTTGGGAGTACCGTGCCAACGGTGACGTGAAAGCAGGGCCCATATCAGACAACTACATCTTCAGCGCCAACGGTTCAGCGGTGCGGGCGTACGAGGCTGTGCGAATGGAGATAGTCCCCGGTGACATCATCACTGAAATCAGGCAGTACTTCTACAGGTGGGTGGCAGCAACGGCCTTCTTTCTCATCCACTCACGTTCAAACCATCTCTCCCGTGCCATCAAGGAATGAAAGCGACGAGGACTATGCCTTCTCCATCATCACCCGCGTCCCAGAATGCTTTGGGAGCAAAGTGCGATGTCATGGCCTGGAGCAGACGTACTCGCTGGGGCCGCTGCCTGTCAACGCCGAGGTCGTCCTCAGGACCAGCTCATCTTTGAAGAGTGACAGAACGCTGTACACGGACAACAACGGCTACCAGATGATGAAAAGGACGCATAGAGAGTTCGCCAACAACACTTTAGCTCGAGTAGGCTCCATTAAAACTACTTGTGGTGTTTTCACCACAAAAAATTACAATAATCATTGCCCATGGATGCAAAGTACTATTCTTGTTAGGGTGAAACTCCTCAACTCACTCCAACATAGTTCCTTGGCACAAAGATGATGGCAAAGTGCTCTTTTTCTCAAAAGGAAACTCCTCAGCTTACTTCAACAGAGTTGCTTGACACCAAGATGCCACAGGACGGTGCCAAAGTACCGAGTTTATTGCAGGGGTACATTGCAGACCCTCACGCAATCGGTTAAAATCCACGATATAGCGACCAACTTTACTGGAGAGTTTTACCCTGCCCAGCCGCTTTCAATACATTTAAACTTATTGACACTAAGCCGAAAGTACAACCCCACCACCACACGGTTTTTAAACGGATTGCAAATGTATTTGAACACCAACTGTTCATGTTCAGCACGTCGGTCTGGAATGGACCTCCTCATCCATCTGTTGCCCATTTTACAGAATTATTTCCCGATGGTTCGCACGGCCTACATCGAGGACGAGCTCAGCCGACTGGTGCTGGTCGCCGACCGGGCCCACGGCGTGTCCAGCCAAGCCAGCGGACAACTCGAGGTAAACGTCGTTGACGTTGGAAAGACACACGACTTCCCTCCAATTTGTCCTTTGCTCCCTAGGTCATGCTCCACCGACGGCTGTGGAACAATCTGCCCTGGAACCTCGGCTACAACCTGACCCTCAACGATAGCTCGGTGGTCCGGCCCACGCTGCACGTGATGCTGGCTTCCAAAAGCGTCGCTGCCAAAATTTACCAGAGGGAGGCGATAGAGCTGCAGCACAGACCTGTCGTCATGCCCGTCGACCTGCCACGTGAGAGCCCACCTCAATTTTTCAACTTGGAAGAACATTGTGTTTGGTTTGTAGTTTCAAAGGTCCTTCAATAAACTCAGCCACCAAAGACGGTTTCATTTAGCCACATGAAACTTGATAGGCACGTCCATCTTGAGTAGACTCAACAAAAAAAATCTCAAGACGCCATGCCCGAAAAAGACACACTCAGCCATTTTGCTTTGTAGCAATCATTTTAGGGTCATTGTGTCCACTTCCAGGGGGCCTTTGAATTTTGGAAAATCCAGCCACCGGAGCCAATTTCACTTAGTACCACGACATTTGGCGCGGTGCTCTATCATGAGTAGATGCGCAGAGAGGTCTTAAGACGTCATGTCTGAAAAGACTCTGGAAGTCTTCCATTTTAGTCTGAAGTCATCATTTGAGGGTCAATTTGATCTTTTTATTTTTCTTGCGGTCTTTCAAATAGATTCAGCGACGAAAGCCAGTTTGACGTAGCAACACAATCTTTAACTGGGATGTCTATCACGACTAGATCCACAATAAGAAGCCATGTTTGAAGAGACACAGGAAGTCGGCCGTTTTGCTTTAGACCGGCCTTCTTAGCGTAATGTTGGCTACTTCAAGGGGTCCAGGAGATTTTGTACAATTCTTACCCAATTTGAAGCGCGTGTACTATACAAGCAATGCGGATTTCCAAAAATGGCCGCTGCTAAATTTGATGACTTGAAACAGACATTATTCATAGTGTGGAGAGAACGGCTCATTTTCACTACGGTGTGCATTTACCTTAATGTTAGATCTGCGCTGGCAGGAGAATGAGCATAAAAGAAGTCCTCACGCCCGTGCCGTGGTGCTGCCGCCCAACCTGCACCTGCTCAGCCTCAGCATCCCCGGCTGGAATTACAGCGTCCGCTCAGGTCAGCTGCGGGAAGTCACATTCGACGGTCGAGTTTAGAGTTGGAGCCAACAACTGTGCTGGTGTGCGTCCAGGTGAAAATGTGCAACCCGAGCCTGACTATGACCGGGTCCTGTTGAGAATCATGCATCTGTTTGAGGAAGGAGAAGACCCCGAGCTTTCAAAGCCACTCACCATCAACTTGAAGGTGGCAGCATTACAACTGTCGACGAATTATTAGACTGAAACAGTTACACATTTGGAATTTACCTGTGTGCACAGGATGTGCTCCGGGGCATCGGGGACCTGTCGGCCATGGAGGAGCGCTCCCTGACGGGAACTTGGGATATAGGTAGCCTGCAGAGGTGGAGGTGGAAAACAGCAGATAACAAAGCTGAAAGTAAGACTTTTATTTTGACACTGGCTGTTCAGATCCACACATCCTAAGTGCTCCTTCTATTTGTTTGCAGAGAAGAGAAGCTCCAGGCGCTTTGGAGACGATCCTTTCTCAGTGACCATTTCAGCCAAAGAAATCCGAACCTTCTTTGTTTCCTTCAACTCCAGGAATCTTTAGGTTGCCTTCTGTGGAGATGTACTTTTTGTTTAGTTTTTTTTAGAATATTAAATGCTGTGATTTATTCTTGAGGACTTAACCATGATGATTCTATGATGACAGACTCATTCAATAAAGTGATTCTTTTGGCTGCTTTGTTACCGGATTGTAATTAGTATTAATGTTATATTAATGAATTTATGTTTAATTAATATCACTATTTATTATGTTATTATTATTAGAAACATTTTATTATTACTTCCAACGCGCAGGAGGAAAATACTGTGCTGTAGAAACAGTGCATTTCCGTCATGGCCTCTAGAGGGCGCTACAACCCTGAGAAGCAACACCGGAAGCTACAAACAGCCATCAACTGCAGTGCATAAAGGATGATGACCACAGTCAGCGTAAGTCACAGTCATGTGTATTTTTTTGTCGTTGTAAAAAAATATTCATTTATAAATCTGAAGCATGTACCATTCCGTTTTGAAATAAATATTTGGCCGCAATTTCGAATGAGTCAAGCAAAGGGGCGTTGCTAGGATACTAGAGGAGCTTAAACGGCTCCTTTATTTTCAAATATTTTGCAGCGGTTTTTCCTTTTCCTTCATTCGCACATTTCTCCGCATACAATGACTTGTGAAGATAAAGACAAGCGGTCTGCGGTCAACCAACATTGCCTTTGTAGCAACAACGCTTGACTGCGCATGCGTACTTGGGCCGCCCCTACTGTTGTCGCCTGACACAGCAATTTAAAATATCGGTCATTTGTTGATTTTGAACCCAAACCCAACACAGATACTTTTATATGTTGTTGTTGTTACTTACTTGAAATTCCTACTTACATATTTTTGTGCTCAATAATTTTTTTTATTGTCCGTATCAGCACAAACTTTGTATCCCCAGTTTTCGCACGTCCTAAATAACATTAAACGTTTCGATTCTGTGTGCAGAAACGAGAGAAGGAGCAGCGGAGGAAGCTGCAGCACTTTTTAGCTGACCTGGCCTTACTGGGTTCCTTACAGGTGCAATCATGTCAAAAATGAGGACGTTGTTGATACATCAATTGACAGCTCGTCTCCGCCCCTCCTAGGGTTTCAAGTACTTCCAGCCTTGGTTGAGAGGGAAAGAGGAACTTTTGCTGACTGTTGTCAATGAAGATCTGGTCAGTCATTTACAACAGTGTTTTTCAATCTTTTTCGAGCCAAGGCACATTTCTTTCATTGAAAAAATCCCGCGGCACACCACTAGCTGAAAATGTGAAAAAAAAGCTTATTTTAACAATTAAAGTGTTATATTGTTATTATACGCGTTTTTAACATTGAAGAATAACGTAAAATGACAACACCTTGAATAGGAATCAAATAAACATCAATCAAATATTTACTCTCACTCAGTCTGATAAATGGTTTGGATGAAGACAGTTCTGATATCCTGGCAGCAATCGATGAAAGACACACGATGCTCTTCCTCCACAGCTGTTATCTGTTTTTACAGCAGTCAGACTACTTCTTTAGCCGCTTTGGGTCCGAACGCCTCATTTACATTGCCACTGGGACTTTTTTTTTTTAATTAGCCACAAGTTCAGCGACATGGTAACTCTCTGTCAGGGCTCATGCACGTTGCTTGTTTCTCCGTGTGTTCACGCAGGTGAACAAAATAGTCCACATTTTTGTTTCGAAGTAAAGGGTGTTTTGTTTGGAGATCGAATTTCAGCTTACCTGGGACCATCACGCTGTTGGAGACATTTTCACCACATACCAAGGACAACGCAGTCGGTGTGGTTCCATCTCCAGTAAAAGTAAATCCAAATGAAAGATCGCTTTCGTTGTCTTGCCTCGCGCCAGAAACTTCGCTCGTCTCGAAGCACGAGGCAATTAGCTAGCTGCTGCTGCTACCTACCGGTATGGAAGAGTACTACTTGATTACTCCCCCAGGCGATAGACCGCACAGGCATACAAATTGGATAATTTCCCACGGCACACCTGACAATAGCGGCACAGTGTTTGAAAACCACTAATCTACAATCCACACGTTGGAAAATTGTGCCTCTCACAGAAACTGCTCGGCAACCAAAAATGATGCCATCCTCATCCCACGGCACACCCCTGACAATAGCGGCACAGTGTTTGAAAACCACTGTTGGAAAATTGTGCCTCTCACAGTAACTGCTCGGCAACCAAAAATGATGCCATCCTCATTTTTGCGTACTTTCTATTTTGTCCTCAGGGAGCCCAGCAGCGAGGAGCATCTACTGCCAGCCTCCCCCAGCGAGCGAGAGATGGCAGTGCCTGTAAGAGATGTCTTTTCCTATCAAAGTTCCAGGCCTCCTCCCTCTCAATCAGGGGTGCCTATGTCCGGGTCCCCGAGAGCCCCTATCCAGCCTCTGTTAAATGTCTCCCTCCTCCAGCACATCTGATTGAAATAATCAGGATCATTATCGAGCTTCTGCAAAGCTTTTTGATGAGCTGATCACAAGGTATTTCATCAAAAACAGGCGGATCGGGGCTCTCGAGGACCAGATTTGGGCACCCCTGCTCATAATTCCCTTTAAGACACGTTAAGACCAATGAATGTATTGTTCAAGAAAAGAATTTCAAAAGGTACATTTGCCTCTCCGAGAACCATAACAGGATGAATGTGACAACTAAAAAATGTAATACAATCGAGACATCGCAACTGCACAAAATACAGCCGCAAACATAACACTGATCTCTTTGTTTTAGCAAAACTGTATCATCAATAGTTTGTACTCTCTTTAGTAGCGTTGAACGATTTTGAAAAATAATCAAATTGCCATATTGTCCCTCATTATTGCGACTGCGATTTATGAAGTGATTATTTTTTCAACGTCCCTTTCCAATTATTTTTTTTTTTTGTTGGCCGTAAATTGAAGCCTGTGTAATTAGAAAATTGCATTTGTGATGTCGATTTCAATTCTATTGGTTGTTGAGTCCTACTCTTCAGGAAAATACAGATTTTAGGAAAAAGCCCAACAATCAGTTGAGAATCGCTTGATTGTGTCTTCTGCCATCTAGTGGAGCATAATTTATTTTCATCGGCATAGATCACTGGTGTCAAACTCAAGGCCGGGGGCCAGATACAGCCCATCAGATCATTTTATGTGGCCCGCCAAAGCAAATCATGTGTGTCAACTAAAATCTGTACCGAAATGTCAAATTGGCACATCTGATGAATAAAGTTGAGATTTTGCAATCATTTTGTTCCCTTGTTTACACTCACTTGAACAATAATTGAAAAAAGTATTATAATTGACTTGACTGATTTCAAAACTAGTAAGATGTTCAGTTGTTGTGTACATGTAATAATTTTGTGGTTTAGCTGTCATAACGGCCCGCCAAGGGAAGACGCAACTTCAAATTGGTCCGCGACTAAAATGAGTTTGACACCCCTGGCATAGATGGACAAAGTCGGGAATACATTTTTGGTCCACCATTTGAGAATGGCTCCCCAAAAACATTCTTTAGGAGGTGAACTGCACCCTGTTTCTACTGGCGGGCTACATGAAGTACGGTCGTCCCCACGCTTGGATTCGCTCCAACCACGAGCGCCTGGTCAGCATTCGAGGCACGGACTCCATGGTCAGGGACACGCCCCTGAAGCTCAAATCCATCACAGACTGGCAGGCTGGAGGTATGGAATTTTAACCAAGTGGAGAAAGTTCACGTGAGAGGATAATTTGTTGTGTGTGTGTGTGTGTGTGTGTCTTTTTTTTTTTTTAGGTATTCGTGTGTGGGACGTGGTCAGCGAGCTCGTGAGTCTCTGCACTGTGCCCTTCCCCTCCAACCCGTTTGCCCTTGACATGCGCTACATCCAAAGCCTTCCCGTGTCGGAGCGCTTCCTCGCCACCGGAGCGCTCCTCAACTTCCTGGAGACGTACGCCGTCTGCGGCAACCGTGACGAGTTGCACTACGAAAAAGGTGCGTTGTTGCATGTCGAGTTTTTAGGAACAAAAAAAATAAATCAATTTTTGAAGACGATTGTGACAGACGTCTGCTCTCCAGTGCTGGAGGAGGTGAAGCCTCTGCGGCGTCTCCACGTCCAAACGCTACTGGAGCTACAGCGGCTTAAAAAAACGTCAGCCGAGCAGGACGTGGACATCGCAGAATGTGTGTCATGAACTCATTTTAAGAGCACACATGGAAAGCATATTGCAGCTGGTTGTTGTTGATTTTTTTTTTTTTAGTTGCTTCCATACTTGCAGCTCTGCAGCTGAGGAGCTCGTTCACAAAAGCACAAGTAGCCGTTTGGTTGCTATATTTCGCAACTTTTTGGACCCCCTCCTCATGACTCATTCACAGCCGTCCCCGTTTTTAATTTGTCGATTGGAAACCAACTATTCACTGCCCCTAACTAAAATCAGAAATTGGATTTTGGGGAAAAAAAAAGAAGGAAAAAAGAGAAAAGATCAATCAAGCGATTTGATTTTAAAAAGCCATAGCTTTACACGACCATCAAAACTGTTGACAAGATGCTTTACGACCATGGGAAACTTGTCAAATGACAGAGTTAAAAACTCCCAGACGCTTTTAGGAACATGTTTGCTCCCCTTGCATCAACCCTTGACATACACTGCAGGCCAAATATAACATTTGAAGCTGGCCTTAACGGAAACCAGCTCGTTTGTCATTTAATATTTGCCCGAGAGCAAGCGACGACACTTGGATACACAAACGTATAAAAACATTTTCATACATATTTCATTAAATATGTACATAATTACAACAGCACGTTGAAAAAATAAAAACATATACCTTCAAGCAGGCACTTGTGTGCTCTTTGTAAAGACATCACCTTTAAAAACAACAACAACAAAAAAATACCTTTAGTGCCACACGGGTGAGAAAAAAAATGTCCCATTAAAAAAAAAAAAGTGGAATGTTTAGCATTAGTTTGTCGGGGAAAAGTAAAACCTGTAAACTTGATGCAACAGCTGCTTGAGTCACTTTGAGGGCTCGAATGGGGGAGGGGGCAAAGCACACTGTGGCATCACTGTACACTCACTGATGGGAAGAGAGGAAGTGACAGCGCTCCCTCTGTTCCAGGATCAACAACCCCGCAAGTGTTTGGAATATTAAATCCGTAAAAACGACACATGCCTCACTGATCCCTGCAGTCCGGCTGGGAGAGGGGGTGTT